CTGTCTCTGATCTGATTCTCAATATCGCTGCCAAAATTACAGTCTCTCGCCGCCTTCCTCAAACGTGTGACAAATTGTTGCACAGTCTCACCTGGTTTCTGAGTGATCCGGTGAAATGTCTGTCTCGCAAACGCTGAATTTACTTGGGGCACGAAATAAGTGTTCAATGCCGTCACTGCTGTAACATAATCCGTGACTCCTCCGGTGGCTGGTAATGTAGAAAACACGTCCTGCACATCAAGTCCGGCAGAGTGAAGTAACAGTGCTCTTCTCCTTTGCTTCGTAGTATTGTCCGTATCTTCGTTAACGATCAGACCTTTCCCATCAGCATACAGTTCGAACGCTGTCAGCCATCGCGTCCAGCGTGGACCGCACGTAGCAGGGTCAGAGTAGCAGTCAAACGTCGGTATCTTATTTATCTCCATTCCAGATAATTTCCTTCACCAAAATAGTATTTTCCTCGTCGCCAGTGTTGTATCTCTCTTAATGCATGAATTAGAGTAGATATTATTACCTCACATCACTCTTACTCCAATAAATTAGAGGACGCAGATATGTGAAACTCAACCACCACCTTTATTCCTAGAATCCGGAGAGTCCTCCTTCCCGCCAAAACGATACATCAACAATAGAACATTACACACTCCTTCCCTATTATCTACTCCTGATATAAATATTTATTTGTACAGTTGTACGTGGTTACTTTGCTGTGCCCCCCTCTGCCAGCACTCCCACATCTGTGGCGGACAGGATATTATTTGGTCAAATGCTACTGTACTAATTAATGTACTGTATGTTATGTTGTACAGGAACGACTATGATTAAAGCATACGTCAAATAACATCATAAATATTTATTATTGAAATAGTCAGCAGACAGCCATGATGGAATTCAGTTCTAACATCAGAACGAGGCTAATAGTTTCAAGAGCTATGCTTAGATGGCACTGTTATTAATATTACATCTCCCCTTGAGCCGAGTGTTCCTTTAAGTTTTAAACTAACTGTGACATTGAACTATGATTTGTGCAACTTGAATCTAAGACTAAAATCTGAATCACGTATCAAACTAAACAAAGTCCATTTGCATTAGGCGATAATGTCTGTTTAAACGGCGCGACTGGCCAAACTCAAAAAAGTCAAAAATTGTGATCACTATGTAGGGTTGACATGTCTACCAGAACGCGAACAATAAGTGGAGGTAGTATCGCGGGCGGACAATTCTGCTGGAGTAGCGACTTTGCGGGTGGGTTGCGGAGTGTCCTTGTCTCTGCTGCTGGGGCTGTCCACACTCTCGGGTCATGATGCTAGGTGATGACGGTTTTGTCTGATCCCTGTAGGGTTCTCGACGATATATGACCGCGGTGTCTCAGCGACACGAACAACAGTTCTAACTTCCATGTGTGTTCTCACTACTCACATACACCTCATCTCCTGGCCAGAAGACGTCGCGTTCTACTACACGGCGAGCATTGTAGTTCTGTCTCCGATGGTTCCTCTGATCTTGCTCCCTCGAGTGTAGCTCTAGTACTATAGCCCGCGTACCGTTGCCGCAGGGCTATAGAACACTCTATTACGAATGCTGGGGACCAACTTATTCATGGTTACTCGCAGCTAAAACGTCTGTGGTAGGCAATTAATGCCTCTTATCCGAAGTGAATGTCTTAAGTTATATCAGCTACTAAAATTTGACCTCTAACTATCGTTGAAATGGTCTGCTTGCGGTATTTCTTGTGAGCGAACATTCGATTTACGAACTTTAAACGGCCATTTTTGGTGGCGCTAGAATTCGTAATAGCATTCGTAATAGAATGTTCTATAGCCCTGCGGTAACTGTACGCAGGCTATGGTATTGGGGCTACCTCGAGTGTAGCTTAGCTCCCTCGAGAGTCGGGAAGCTGCTGTTCCAGTTTCTCCGGTATGATCGGCACGATTGTGCGTATCCTCCTGCCAAAGAGTAACTCAGCCGGTTAGTATCCATTCTCCAGCGGGGTAGCACGGTATCACAGCTCTTAACAAAATAATTGATTTCACTGCTAAGTCCGGGCCACCAGATTGAGGTTTTAGCGCACTCACGACATTTTGATATGCCCAAATGACGCTCGTGGATTCTCCGCAGAAGTTTGCCGCGCATTGCTTCGGGAATAACGAGTCTACTCCCTCTGAGGAGTAGTCCGTGTTGAACGCTCAGTTCACCTCTTACAAACCAATAGGCTTACACGCGGCTGTCCAGTTTGGTCCGTTCTGGCCACTTAGTACTGAGGTATCGTGTAATCACCTGACATGCAGGGTTGTTAGACTGACATTTACGAATTTGCTCAAGGCGTGATGCGGAAGCTGGAATCCCCTCGTATACAGCGTTGACGTAAGCTGCTGTCTCATCCTGCAGTGCTTGGTCGTCCACTCGGGTTGTCGACTTCACGGGAGCTCGTGACAAGGTATCAGCTGTGGTCATGTTCTTGCCAGAGTACCAGTATCTCATTAATCTGAGGCGGAAGCGCAGAACTCTAGGGGGTAAGTCCTTCAGTTTCTTGGTCCCCAGTACTGTAGAGGTACCAGTGGCTTATGATCCGTTTCGATATGGAAGTAAAGTCCAAGCAAATAGTTGTTGAAGCGTTCACATGCCCACGTTATTGACAAAGCTTCCCTCTATTTGCGCATATTGCTGTTCAGTGTCAGACATTGCTCTTGATGCAAACACGACCAGTCTCCAGTGTCCATGAGTTTGTTTCTGAGTCAGGATTGCCCCCAGTCCGGACGATGATGCATCTGACAAAAGCACTGTTTAGAATCGTGGATCATACAATGCGAGTACTGCGGTAGAGCTCAGTATCGATTTCACTCTCTCGAAAGCTTGGTCTTGAGTGACAGACCAAAGCCACGCGTTATCTTTCGCGAGAAGATCTCTGAGAGGTTTGGTCATCTCAGCCAGATCCAGTGTGAATTTAGAAAGCTGGTTCGCCATGCCAAGAAATCGTCTCAGTTCACTAATGTTAGTGGGTTGTTCCATCTCTGCAATAGCGTTAACCTTGAGCGGGTCGGCGCTAATCCCGTTTTCACCAACGAGGTGACCGACGAATTTCACTGAGCGGACAGAGAAGACACATTTCTCGACGTTTAGCATTATACCTGCTTTTCCTAGTCTACGTAAGACAGCTAACGGTCTCCTGTCATGTTTGTTCTGGTTTGTGATTCATTTTGGTTTATAAATTATTTATAATTTATATATAATATTATTTATTATTTTCACATACTCTTCGTTTCTATAATGTATGTCGGTGGTTGCTCAATTAAAACTGACTTCTTCTCACTCACTCATTTGTGTCCTTTTTGTGGTGAGCTACAGTGTCATTGACACTCATTATTTAATGAAACTGGAGTACTGTAAATTATTTATAGGTCTGACTGACTTTCTGCTTGGAAATTACGAAGGTCTGAGCATGAAATCGGCAGGTCCCGCACGTCGGACTTGCCCTATTTTCAGCCCCCTGATTTCCTATTCATAGTTCGTTTGTTCCTTTTGACAACTTGAAAAAGTGATTCAAGAGTCTCATATAATGTGTTCAGAATAGCTTAGAATGCACCAAATTGCACCTTTTTTTTTAAATCCAAGGAGAGCATGCCCCCGAACCGCTCTAGAATGGCGATCACCATTGCTTGCTCCTCAGATTGCGCAACCACCAACACAATTTTTACAACCTCGCTGACATTTTTGGCCAGGGGAAACACTGTATATTCATTCGTTTTTATTGAATATCAACTGATACTATGATCTAACATAGTTATTTATAACATTTTTATTTTAGTGTTACGTGGGAGCAAGCTGATAGACGATACCTAAAGAAAGCCTTCAAACAAGCATAGAAAATGTCTGCTTGGCAATCACCACTCCTCTACCGCCTCAGCCCTAACGAGGAAGCCAGGCTCATTGCCGAAGAAGCAGAACGGAGAAAGAAATGTCGACTTCTTCAGGTAATACCAATGTAATTATGCCTACTATAAATATCATCATTTGATCCCTTTGTATATATATAACATTATTGTGTTAAGTGCTGTGTTTGATTTGCAAATGAAACAGCTCAGGAAGCTGCTTTGCATATTTCTCAAAGGTGATTAAGCATGCTTGATTTTTGGGTAGACAGTGTGTCTGATTAAAACGGCATACAACCAATCTGATTACCCCAAGATATTGGGTGTTCTGTGCTGTTTTTTCTGGCTGTTTTGGGGGCTGTTTCTGGGTGTTTTGGCTTTGTTTTGTGGTCCATAAGGTGCTCCAATGAATTAGACTAATAATCTGGAAATGTTTGACTGCCCCACTTCCAGATATATGCGCGCTATGAATGAGATGATGTACAGTACATAGCTGATAGAGGTGAATATTTTAAACACCGAGCTGTAATGATACAGAATCCAGAAGAGACCGGATACTAGTGTTGGAGATCGGTCCAAATTTCATGATCGATCATCGGTTTTACAAAACGACCGATGATCGAATAATCATCGATTATTTTAGATTGCGGCGACGACGCGGTGACGCTGCGTCATCGTCGACACAACTGGTGTATTGCGAAGGAATATTGACATTATTGTATGTGTAGCTAGTATTTAATGGTAAGTAAATTAAGGATACTGTTGGCATGATTGTATGTGTAGCTAGTATTTAATGGTAAGTAAATTAAGGATACTGTTAGGGTTACGGACGGGTAACACTCTAAAGGGCATTGCAACATAACTGCTTACCAAATTCAATCAAACTCATATCCATTACATAAGAGAGATGTCTCTCTATGCTATCGATGAATTTTTTTTATTACAAATTCATCGCTAATTAAGTGACGGCAAAAATTATGAATTTATACAAAAATGCTTTTTGTCTTATTTCTCAGAAACAGCAGAGTTGGGACCTAAACTTTTAACCATAAGTTGTTCATAATATGAACCAAAAAAGTGTTCCTGGAATTTTTTTTAAATGCTTTAATTTAGAAAGTAAGTTGAAAAGATGTAGGAAAATTTAGAATTAGGCTTGATTTTCAGGAAACAAGGTCACAATTAGTTCTTTGAAAATTGACACCGCACCGTGTTTACTAGAGCTTAGTACTATCTATTATTTACCCTGTAGCAAGACCTACATTGGAAAACATTAAAAGTGATTCGAAATAATTATAGCTATAATAACTACACTTATTTTTTCATAATTGTTATTTATTAATATTGGTGTTTGCCGACCATTTTATCAAGGCCCTAAGTGGCATGCAATGTGTGACCAGACTTACGCTTCCGTTATGGCGAATACACGATTTCCTTGCGTTTATGTTTAACTCTGGTGTTTGTCTATTTATTATACCAAACGTGCGGACAATAATGCAATAACAAAGATAAAACACGACTGCATGGTGCCCTGCTCACTTTGCTACAACCACACAGTGGGTTTGTAAGCAGGTAAGTGGAGCTGTCGCCGAGAACTAGTCAACATGGCCAAGTTTAAGTTGTACTCGGTCGTCCGATTTTATACTCGATTAATCAACTCGTCAGCCCAAACGAGTAATGATCGACGAACTCGATTAATCGGAACACCACTACCGGATACTAGAGAAGCGTCGCCAAAGGGGAGGCATTGATCCTGACATCTGAGCGCGGATCTTGCGCGCAGTTCTGCGGCAAGGTGCACGCGACCGCATGCACGTCCTACGAAAGTGTAACGGGTTGGCCACTATGGATCCATGTGCGAAATTCGAATAGCACGGATCCATAGAGGCCAACGAACACTCGAATTTTAGGCATGTAATAAAGAGTATATCATCATTGCAATAGCATACTAGGGCAGTTGAGCAGATAACACGCACACGCACAGACACAAAACGGAAGAGAAATGAGAGAGTAAAACGACGTACCTAGGTCCGATCAGATAGGTACATGTAACATGTACGTACACGTAAACGCAAGGTGGATCAATGCCTCCTATGCGGGATGCCTCTAGTATCTGGCTGTGGGCCTATTTACAAACGAGTTACTTAGCAACGCTTATAAACAGGTGCGCTGCGCTAGCCGGTGCCGGCCTGGCCGGGTTTAGAAAACCGGTAATGAATAATCACAGGAAATTTCCCCAGCAACAGAGCTGGGCTATGCTAGAAACGCGCGCGTGACAAAATCTGCAGCCGGATATCCGCGCGATCTAACACGACTTCGCTGCCCCCACTCCTTCACCTTACACGGTTTACATATATAACGCAAGCACCAACTTCGCTGAATTGAGCAGTTCTGGCCATTCGACGATCGGTTTGACTACCCAGTGTAATGATAAGTTTTGTGCATATAATATATTGTGTGTGTGTATGTGTGATCGTGGCCCGTGACGTATAATCGTATAGTGTATATACCATGCGATGTACTAAAACCAAAGGTCCTGCTTGGCGCGGGCACCCTTGTGAGGTACCCTGAGGTAATCACAAAGTAGACAGACACGAAATGTACGTACAACAATATATCTCTTTAATTCTTACACAAACTTACAGAGACAAGTTATTAGTTACATACTTAAGTTAATGCAAGATCTCTAAAAGGAGTTTACACACGCAAATACATTTACTAGTCTTAAAAGGAGTTTTAAGACATACGTTTAAGACGCATACTATAACACGAATACGGTAAGACCTAAACTATAACACATATACACATACAAAAACTGTCATGCGCTGACCAAGCGCTTGACACTACATACTCACTGACTGGCTGGGATGGTTCTGATTTTCTGTGGTCAGAACGCGGGTTTTTATTCTAAATTTTAAGATCATTAGCCTTCTATCTGACGTCAGTATTGACCCTTGCCATGTCCCTTCGGACAACGGGTTTTCGGAGTGTTTTAATGGAATGCTTTAGGACGGTCGAAATGACCGTTCTACGTGGCTGACCACCCTAGCACGACTAATCCTAATCGTCCTTAAGATTAATTGTTTCCTAAGACCTGCCGGACATTTCTATTCCTTTAGGCTAGCTGGTAGTTTTCCACTGTCCTTAATGACTTTTTCCTTTTAATTAACTTTCCCTTTTTATGCCAATATTCTCTTCATTACACCAGGGAGCTCGACATTTCTTAGAAATGCTCCTAATTCGAAGTAGGTAATCGACGTAGAATGACGGGTGCGCGCTTTCTAAATTAGCATCGTAAAATGAATACGGATTGTCAAGTTCTTCTTTGTTTGTTGTTGGTTGGATAGAGTACAGCGGATAGTGAGATAATGGCGTGCAGATGAGGACGGACGGCCACGAATGCGCACCGAGGACTATATAGGAGCAAGTAGGTAGACTGGGTACGACAGGTAGATCGATTATCGCACCTAACACCGTTTACTCCGGCATAGGGTCGGGCTAAGTACTCATGTTGAGTGTGAGCGTCTGGAAGCTGTCGACAGCGGGAGGGTAGACCCCGGTGCGCTAATTGAATGATGTGGTACTCTCTTATTGCATGTTGATATTGGTGGACACGACGCAGCAAAGCGGCGGATCGTGGCTTGCAGAGGGTTGTACGCTTGTGTGTTGCAGGGATGCGAAAGGGCATTTGACCGACAGATGTTACAGGATGATTAAGTATGGCGAGAATAGAGTAGTAGAAAACATTAGAGGAGACTGTTGAGTGAGCGACAGATTTCGCACACGTACGGAATAGCTTACGTATTTACTGACCAGAGTACGATTGGAATTATCAAGATAACTTAAACTAGTAAGTAACTAGACTACTAGTAGGTGTAGAGTAGTAGTGACTAAAGTGTACGGGAAACAGCTAACACTACGTGAAAACTAGAGTACGTCAGATTTATACGCGTACGCAAGGACGGCAGGGAGGCATAAATAGTAATTAATGAAGACCTAAACTCTGGTTAAATAATAGGTAACTGTACTAATATGACAGACGATTCACCTAGGTTACTGACTAACTAGGTAGTGACTAACTACTGAAGTACTAGGCTACGAACATAATCTAGTAGCTACTACTAATAGGTTAAGGCTAGTGATTAGGTAACTAACTGGAACTAACTAACGAGCGCTGAGCGAATCGCAAGAAACACGCTACGTTTGGCTAGGGTAAGAATATCACCACTATTCTAGACACAGGCACTTTGAAGCGTTTCAATAAAAATACTCAATTTGCTATACTAATATAAGAAGATCTATTTACTACAAATTGCATTGATGTTTCTAGATAATAGGGCCTAATCGGTCTATTCGAGAAGAGTTAGGGAGGTGCAGAAAGGACTATAACAGACTAGGGAAGTGCTCCACCTTGAGGGCAGGATTATGGCCATCGGGAGAGTAGAACGTAAGCTGAAGGCCGAAGAGGTGGGAGCTAGGTGGCCAGCTCTAGTGGGGCTATCGTGAGCGGCAGGCAACACCTGTCTTGTCAAGAGCCCCGTACGATGGGACCTGCGAGCCAATTGATATAGGTTGAGGCAAAAAACGGTCTGTGCATGCGGATGAGCGGACAACAAAAAGGCAAACCACGGGAAGGAAGCGCCGGTAGGTGTTTCACGGACTGAATTCTGACAAGAACATTTCCATTATGGGGGCAAGGTTGACGTCGGAATGTCACGTAGATACAGAGCAGTCTTGTCACTAGTGATTAAGTCGTTTCGTGACGCACACAGCTGTCGGGTTACGAAACAGAGTTCTGACCCGCGTGACAAAGTAGTTTTTTTATGAATGAAGCTGATTTACACGTTCCAAACACACAAGTGCTGGCGCACTCTGGTGTCGCACCAACTAAATTGGCGTGACTGTTCGCGTGGCATTTTATGGATCTTATGATAGCGATCACCGAGTTCCTATTGACATTCGGCGCACGGATCCACTAGCTTGCTATCGACTGCACTAACTGAGCATGCGTAAGGAGCTTGTTCCTATTGCAGGCGAGGAATCATTGGCGCTGCCCCTGCCGCGGAACTGCGCGAAGATTGCGCTGCATGCCAATTCGAGATTTAACGTATATCGATTCCTTACGGCAAACTGAGCTTCTCATAGCTACATATGACTTTTTTAGATTTATCATTATTATGTATATATGCTGGCGCATAGCAGATCGTGCTTCAAGAGTATGGTAGAAATTGTTGGATAGAGAGACGGTAAACTTATTACTACCTCCGATATCAAAGTCAGATATCTCTCTCATAGGTTTACTTATTGAGTGATTTTACTGGTTGCGGTTCGTGGCTGGGTGTGTGAGTGTTCGGTATATTCTGTGAGAATGCACAGTCTATCGACTCTTGTCTACTTCCCATCTTTGTGCCGCAATGTT